TGATAACGCCAAGAAATACCAAATATATCAAACAAATGACTCCAAAATCTTAGGCCACATAACAGTGTACGAACAGATGATTGTGAGTGTCTGCTGCTGAAACAGATGACACATATATGATATCCCTAGGGATAAAGCACATTTCGATCAATGAGTTTGGAGAAAATCATTAATATTGGCTTGCGAAAGCTACAATCCAAACAAAAACTTTAACCTTAGAGGAAGCAAGAACCTTTTAGAAACAATTTTTAGAAATATCATTATAGGAAGCAGGGTTTTGAGTAAAAAAAAAACATATTAGCATTGCAAGAATTGAGAACTGAGGGTTCCAAAGACCAGATTCTATGATCAGGGCGTGAAGGAAGGGATAATATTAGATCCCAATTGGAAAGTGAAGGCACTTCCAAGAATTGCTTTCTTGGCTTGGGAAACGGGAAGATAATGCATTTTGACCATTGATAAGCTTATGAGGAAGATAAAATAATGGTGAACGGTTTTTATTTGTGTAAGAAAGCTAGAGTCTTGGGATCATATTCTCTTTGGTATCTTGTGGCATATGACTTGTGGACAATGGTTTATGGTTTGTTAGGGATAAACTGAGTTATGGCAGAATCGGTGAGAGATGAGATTTGGGCTTGGGAGGGGATATGTAAAAAGAAATAATTTGTAGTTTATTCTATTGACTATTTTCTGGGTGATTTGGAAAGAGAGAAGTAGTAGAGATTTTGAGGGGATAGAATGTGAGATATCTAGGATTAGGGATAGATGATTACTTTATTTTGGCTCTTTGATATTTGGTCTTGACATTTACTTTGTATATTTTTTTTTCAAAAAAGAAATGTTTGGTCATGACATATAGATTAGAGAATTTTGGAAATATCATAAATATATTATGAGAACTGTAGATATTTTGCAAATGGGTGATATTCCCTTGGTGCACTTATTTAATATACTTCATTTACTTTTTATTAAAAAAATGGATTGATTTCTAATTTAGCAATTTATCAGCTTCTTTATTTTCAAATTAATGAAAAAGTTCCATCTCTCTCTTTTCGTGTGTATACACACATATATATATGTATGTATGTTGTTTATTTCATGTTACTTTTAAGTCATACGTGGCAGTTTTATCATGCAGTGATGGATGGGATAGAACTACTCAGCTAGTTGCACTTGCAAATTTGCTGCTTGACCCTTACTACCGCACATTCTTGGGGTTTCAGGTATTTCAAGAGGAAGTCATATAACTATTTTGTCTCCTTTATGGATTTCTCTAATTGCAGTGGAAAAAAATTTCTTTTTCGTTCCACTGACTTTCAATTCATGGATTATATAGTATATGGGGAAATGATGTGCATGTTATGAAATTATGCATTTGTTCCTTTTACTTTTTTTATAACTTACTGCCACACTGTGCATCATCCGTATCCAGTGCTGACACCTATTTTGATAGTCTTTTTGATATGATCACTAAATTGTAGACCATTTTGTCTTGATACAGGCTCTTGTTGAGAAAGATTGGTTAGCATTTGGCCACCCATTTTCCGATCGTGTAGGAATGCCAACTATATCTGGAACTGGCTTTGAATTGTCTAGACAGTCTTCTGCTGGGAGCTTTTCGACGTCACCCATGAGGCAATCATCAGGGTCATCTTCTCAAGCTCCTACTTCATCTCATGCACAAAACAATTATTCTCCCATATTTTTGCAGGTATGTGCATCAAACTGTCACTTTTAGAGCTCCAACCCTACTGTCCTCTTTATAAATAGTCTCCCTTTCTTTTTGATGTTATAAACTACTTTTTTCCCTTATTTTTAGAATTCAATATCACTTACTTTTTGAACTAGGATTTGAGTTTAGAGTGAGGTACAAAGGAAACCACTTGGCCATAATGTCCATGTGTGGTTGGGAAGAGTTCATTATATCTTCATCTTTGTCAAATATTACCCAAGGATAATGTAGCGTACTAAGGCCTGTATCTACTTTTGTTTTTTAATAGCCAATATACCAGTAATGCAATATGAATCCTTGCACGCATATAGAGCATTGAATAGGGAAGGAATAATATGGAATATGTTTTCTATAATACAAATTTGTGAGGGGAGGAATAGGAGCATAAGGTTTTATAGAGGGGAAGCCTTTTGCTTGGTTATGGATCTCATGGTTGGAATTAATGCTAGAATTTTCAAACAATTACTTTCAAACATTATGGTTTCTTTGGGAGAGGGTGATGTTCTTTGCCTCGTCACTGGTCTTAAGTACCATATTTCGTTTAATTTGTGGTTTTGTTAGTACCTAATCATGTTATGCATGATCCCTATGTGGCTAAAGAAAATTACTTCAAATATTTTATTTTGCTAGCTTTTTAGTTTATTAATTTGTTTCATGTATTTGAACTTGTGCACAGTGGGTTGATTGTGTTTCACAACTGTTGCGAATGTATCCTTTTGCTTTTGAGTTCTCTTCGGTATGTATAAAAATAGCCAATATGTGCTTGAAATTTATTAATTTTTCCCTAAATTAGTAATATAGTGGAGAATGTATTTACTATCATTCCATGTGTTTATACAGGCTTTCCTGGTGGATTTCTTGGACTGTGTGCTGTCATGTCGTTTTGGAAATTTCTTGTGCAATAGGTAATTTGCTCTTTAATAGCATTCACCTAGATGCAGTAACAAAGTTTTCACTCAGAAAATGTTTCGTACTTGCAATAAATTTTTTTTTGAAATAACTTGTACTTATAATAATAAAACTGAATTCTCATCATGCAGAACTTGTTTTTTTTTTTTCAACCGTTAGAATTTTAGGTCTGGACGGCCATCACAAGCCACTTTGTTAGTTCTTCATTGGTGACACCCGAAGATTGTGCTTTCACCACTGTCATGTAATCAACTTTCACCTCCTTCAGCATATTGTTGCAGTCACTAGTCACCACATAACCTTGACTACTAGCCTGCCGCTATCTTCTCCATGTTGTAACCCCTTGTACCATGAACATGGTTAACAGACTGCTAACACTAAAAGTACAGAAAGAACACATAAATATCCACACAGAATGTAACCTTTAATAGCATTAGTGATTTTTGTCTGACGTGAAAATTCTAGCAGTACACATGCACATAAGCCCATGTTACTAGTTGTTAGCTTGTAAATTTTATACTCTATGTGATCAGCTCGGCCAAAAGGCACCTAACCAAGCTTAAAAAGGATTTTGTTCTTATTTTTCTTTTTGTTGCTGAATGAATAGTTGTAGCACCCGGAAAGGAGGAGAAAAAAAAAAAAAAAAAAAAAAAAAAAAAAAAAAAGGGCGGCCACGTCAGCAGCCACGTCAGCAGGCCCGGTCAGCAGTCCCGGCCAACCAGGGCCTGCCACGTGGCAAGACCGCGTCACTCCAAAAGGAGCCACGCTGGCGATCCGCGTGGGTGCGATCCGACGGCCCAGATCAATCACGCGATCGGACGGCCCAGATTCAATCAAAAACGAGCGGCCCAGATTAAAACAAAATGAACGGCTGTGATCAAAAGGCAAGGGGTTATAAATAGAACCTCCACACCAGACCACAAACCCTAGCCGCCAGCCGCTCGCCGGAGAAGACGAACCAGAGGCCGACCGCCGCCACCCGCCGCCACTCGCCGCCGCACCGGGGAAATTTCCGACCGCCGATCGAGGTAAATTTCATACCCCCGACTCGTTTTTCCCCACTGATTCCTCCTATGGCCAAATCGAAGCCGAAATCCCGGCCAAACGGCCGGAATACGCGGCCGAAGCCCAGCGGCACCGCCGCGCCCCCTCTCGGTTTTTGCCTCCGACGAGGCCCTTCCCGGCCTCCGTTCGATGCAATTTTTATATCACCGTGATCACCATTCTTTTCTCTACAGGTTGACCGAAGCCAAATCACCAAAACACGAACTTCGCCGGAGAGTCGCCGTACCCGAGAGCGCCGCCGCCAGTAAGCTCCGTTTTTCCGTAATTTTTTGGCCCCCCGAGGGCCCTAGGGTTGTTTTCTGACAAGGACCAATGCGAGTGTGGCCGAATTCGGCCAAAAACGGCCGAAAACAGTCAACCCGAGGCGACTCGCCGCCGCCAGCGGCGGCGCCGTCGCCGGAGCACGGCGGAGCCGCCGTGCCGGAGTTGCGATTTGGGCCGAAAGAGGCCCTGGGCCTAATTTGGATTTTTTTTGGAACCCGTGCAGGTACTGTGAGCGTGTTTCAGTTCCCCGGGAAAAA